CCAAGGGTGATAAAGTGAGACTCTGTCTCTACAAAAAAAAAAAAAAAAAATAGCCAGGCATTGCAGTGAGTGCTCTTAGCCCCAGCTACTTGAAAGGCTGAGGCAAAAGGATCAATTGAGCCCAAGAGTTTGAGGTTGCTGTGAGCTATGATGCCATAGTACTCTACCAAGGGTGACAAAGAGAAACTCTGTCTCAAAAATAAATAAATAACCACCCTCCAAAAGGGTATGTTACTAAGCAAACGAACCTCAATACCAGTGGGAGATAATGTCTATCTTATGCCTCAGAGTTATACCACCAGAGGGGTAATTACAGGAGCTGGGATATTTATCCAACTTCTAATAGGTCATTGGTTCAGGTAGCTCTTTGGTGGAGACAGGAAGGGAGGACATCAGACCAGCAAATGAGTGGACACTGACAGTGTCTGCTAAAGTAAATAATTCTTCATGATACTCTAGTTTCATGGCACAATTTTGGTGGAATCAAAACTAATTGACTAAAAATCTTGGCAGATAAGATGTGCTGCTCGGGTCTACCTTCAATTTGGTTATGAAGTGGGATATATGGTTAGCCAACAGCCTCTAGCTGTTAGGGTTCATCTCAGCTCCCAGCCAAGGTCATGCTTTTCTCAGGACAGCCTCCGTTAATGGTTGAGTGAGGTCATTTGCGCCCAAAGTGGGATACCTCCAGTGGGCAATCTCTGCTTTGCAGAATGTCAGGTTTTCATTATAGTCTGATGGCTCTACCTGCCCAATCCAGCCTCCTCTCCTTTCCTTTTGCACAAATGTTCTGCACTCCTAACTCCATCTCAGCTTCTACTTCCTGGAGAACCCAGCCCTTGATATTGTATTTAATGGCATCTAAGACATTGTTAATATATGGCTCAGAGAAAAGAAAAATGATGCCAATTGAACTCGGGCACACCATCAGATAGTAGGAACAATACCACTTTATTTCACAGATGTTGAAATGTGAAAAAAATGTGCATCCTTAGATAGAGGAAATTCAGTAAATTACTTAATTGTACTTCAACTCCCATTTCAAATCTGAGCCACTCAGAAAGACCTCTAGTGGAGTGGCCTCAATTACCCTAAAGAAGCAGCAACTGAGTTAGGCCTAAATGGCCTGAGCTTTGGTTGAAAATCTCAAATGGGGCTTGGCACCTGTGGCTCAAGCAGCTAAGGTGCCAGCCACATACACCTGAGCTGGCGAGTTCGAATCCAGCCTGGGCCCGCCAAACAATGTTGGCTGCAACCAAAAAATAGCCGGGCGTTGTGGCTGGCGCCTATAGTCCCAGCTACTTAGGAGGCGGAGGCAGGAGACTCGCTTGAGTCCAGGAGTTGGAGGTTGCTGTGAGCTATGATGCCACAGCACTCTACCCAGGACAAAAGCTTGAGGCTCTTGTCTCAAACAATAAATAAATTAATTAATTAAAAAAAAAAAGAAAATCTCAAATGGGCCACCACTGATATCAGGCAAGTTATCACTTGGCTTTTCCAGACCTAGTTGAGCAAGTAGGCAATCAGGTCCCCTCTTCTGGCCAATCTCAGGTACAGGGCTGCAGTCATAGGGGAGGATCAGTGAGGGCCCTAGATTAAGGTGACCAGACATCCCACTTTTGGCAGGACAGTCCCAATTTTTAACAATTTGTCCCGCGTCCCACGGTGTTATTAAAAAGTCCCAATTTTTGGAAAGAATGCACGAAAAGCTAGGGAACCTGGGAAACCGGATGAAATATACAGCTGCTGAAAGGTTAATGTAACTCCATTTGGGAATGAAAAGGCTAATGTAAACTCCCTAGTCCCCTCCTGGGCAAAGTCATCCAGGTGGACCAGGGCCTTACTCCTTTGAGCCACAAGCATCGCCCAATACATAATTTTTTTAATGTATTATATTTGTAAATTGTACTTATGTTGAAATTAAAAATATGTATATTACAATACTATTTTGGCATTCTATGAAAATTTTTGTTGCTCCATATAGACCAAATTTTTTTTTCTTTTTTTTTTTGAGGTAGAGCCTCAAGCTGTCCCCCTGGGTAGAGTGCTATAGCATCACAGCTCACAGCAACCTCCAACTCCTGGGCTCAAGCGAGTCTCCTGCCTCTGCCTCCCAAGTAGCTGGGACCACAGGCGCCCGCCACAACGCCTGGCTATTTTTTTGGTTGCAGCCATCATTGTTGTTTGGCGGCCCGGGATGCATTCGAACCTGCCACCTTAGGTGTATGTGGCTGGTGCCTTAGCCACTTGAGCCACAGGTGCCAAGCCTAGACCAAATTTTTAATTAAGAACCACCACCACCACACACCCTCCACCCTACCCTACCAAACCCCTAATGGTGTCCTGCTTTACCAATGTTAAAATCTGGTCACCTTACCCTAGATGAATGTGCCTGCTACCTCTGAAGCACATGCTGAGGCCCCCACAAGCATCTCTTATCACCCACCTGAGCAGTGGTGGAGGAAACATTCTCCTTCCGTATTCCCTTTTCTCTGCTAAGGAAAGATCTGAGCAAAGACTTTCTGAAACAAGACTGACAGCAAGGTAATCCTACCTGATTTTTCATTGTAAGCTGCAGCTCCAGCATCCTGTGAAAAATGAGAATGGTTTTTTCAAAAATTGGAAGCTAACTGACTACAGATTGCTGACAACAAATATAGCCTAATAAACACAACACAACAGAAACCCTGCTCAAAGAACTGGGTCTGGAAGGAAGGGGAGCAAGTGTGTTTTTAACCTGTGTGTCTGAAACACTACTTAAAATACCAAATGTTCCAGAAAAACGCTGAGCCCCTATCCCACTCCCCTAGGGGCCAATGAACTTCTATTTCACAATGAGATGAGGATTAGAGATTAACATTTGAAAAGGCCCAAAGGTCACAGCCCACAGTGACCTCAGACTCTCAGATAGTTTCCAATCTCAAAGGCTTACGGGTTTCTCTAGACAGAACAGAAGACATGGGGACTTGAGCCTCATCTGCTACATCTCCCATCCTACAGTCAGGAGGCACTTTAAATTGCCTTTTCAAAGCACACGCTTTAACAGGGAATTTTCAAGTTTAGAAAATAAGATGCCTTTCTCTATTTCCTTGTTTTTATTCCTCTTCCAATACCCTTCCTTGCCCTATCCTGAAAAAGAAGAGTGGCTGAATGAGTGAAGGAAATAAAAATGATACTGATTTTCAGTGCTGAGGTGACATTTTTGAAAACTCATCCATCCTCAAGTTGACCCTGTTGATTAGATTAGATATTCTTGATTCCTCATTACCCATATGATACCAGGAGAAAACTTTTATTAAAACCAGATAAGGATGTCAGGTATAATTGAAGACGTTGGACTTTTTGCTGTTATAGGAAGAACTATTTATGTACTGACCAAGGTTCATGATATACACACATTTATTTTTTTTTACCATGGAAAAGTCCATCCTTCAAGTTGAGGCAAGGCCGGTCTTTAATGGCTATTCTCTCGTTTGCAGTTCTGAGTGTAGACTGTAGTTCCCAGATACAATGGTCCGCTTCTAGGAACAAATAGAAAAGTGCAATAAGCATTAACCAAAATCTTAGGGAATTTGTTTAAAAACACTGTAGGGGGATTAAGTGTGCTTTCTGAGCCTGAATAGTTTTTCACATGATTGGTGAAGATGTACATGTTGTTTTGCTGCTGCTGTTACTGTTTACCTTCTGTCTTTGCAGGAGAGGTTCCACCTAACACTGTAATGGCAGTTGAGAGAAGGTAAAGAGCGGCATAGGCAGGACAGGGAAAGCTTTATGTGAGACTAGACCCAGGCTTTGAAGGATGAAGCAGGTTTTTACATATTTAGAAGAGGATGAGAATGAGGTATGGAGACCAAGCACAGCCTTCAAAGAATAGTGAGGAAAACTAGCCTCATGAGTAAGCGAAGACCCCTGGAGAGGAAAGAAAGAAGAAATACCACTTACTGAATTTGTGATAAATACTTTTGGCCTAATTAGATAGGGGAATATCTGGGTAAAAGTCAGAAACTCCAAGAAAAATTATACTTTAATGATTTTCCATCTAATAGGTAGGAATTAAAGATTGTGAATTTCCAAAAGGATGATGAAAATACTTAAAAGAACTATACCTTAGGGTGGCTAGCTCAGTGGGTAGGGCACTGTCCACATACACTGAGGCTCTCAGGTTCAAACCCAGCCCAGGCCAGCTAAAACAACAATGACAACTGCAACAACAACAACAACAACAACAAAAATAGCTGGGTGCTGTGGTGGGCTCAGTGAGTGGGATGCCAGCCCATATACCGAGGATGGGGGGTTTGAAGCCGAACCCAGCCAAACTGCAACAAAAAAACAGCCAGGCGTTGTGGCAGGTGCCTGTAGTCCCAGCTACTTGGGAGGCTGAGGCAAGAGAATCACTTAAGCCCAAGAGTTTGAGGTTGCAGTTGCTATGAGCTGTAATGCCACAGCACTCTACCCAGGGTGACAGTTTGAGACTCTGTCTCAAAAAAAAAAAAAAAAAAAAAGAACTTTACTTTTGAAACACAAACAATGTAACCTAATCATTTGTACCCTCATATTAATCTGAAATAATATATATAAATTAAAAATAAAAGAGGAGAAAAATACAATTACCCACACTTGTTGCTATCTTTGCTCCTCTGAAATGATTTTGTACCACCATCGACAGCATCAGAGCACTATAGTTATTGCACAGAGAGGAAATGCACCAAGCTCAGTACAATTGTAAAATCAAGGACAAGATGCATTTTTGCCTCCAGAGGGCACTGCTATTTTCACAAAAGGGAAAACAGCGTCTGCTTTGCTGTGGGCTTTTTGCTTTAGATATTGCACTGCTTTCTGTATTCAGACCAGCTTGACAGTCCTAGGAATAAACTTGGCAGTGGGGGTGGCATTCATTTAACCCCAAAGAAAGAGAAACAGGAAGCATAATGCCCAAAACATTCACTCTCTTCCATTTTAAAAACAATATCAACAAAAGCATTTTCAACCTTCCATCACTGGTTCCTATTGTTTTCTTCTCTTTCACAAACAGCTAACCTTCTGGAATGAGCAGATGACTCTACTGTTACCTTCCCACTCAGACCACTATAGTCTGGCTCCCCACCTCACTCCCAGCACCCCTCTGAAAATATCCTCACTGTCTTCCATGTGGTAACTCCAATAGACTTTCTTCTGTCCTAATCTTTCTGCAGTGTTTCATTCTTTGATTCCTGAAACCCTGTTTTCTTGGCTTCTCCTGTGGCATCTTCCCTTGGTTCTTCTGCTGTTTATTGGCCTTTAAAGGCCTTTCTCCAGACTCACTTCCACCACCTGCCCCTAAATCGTTTGCCCAGGATTCTGCCAAGAGACACTTTACGTCTCACTCTACATTCTCTCCAGGGGAGATCTCATCCACTCCCATGGTTTCAATTCCCCACTTGCAAATATAACTCCCATATATGTAAGTCTAGGCTCTTCTGAACCTCAGTTTTCAACCTCTACTTGAATGTCTCAGTCCCCTCAAACAGAGCCTCTGCAAAATTAGACCCCTTGTCTCCTGGTTCCCATTCTCTCATCTCCCTTTCCTCAAATCCATGCTTTATCTCCTAGATTCTACAGCTCAGTAAATGATATATCATTTACCTACTTGGCTCAGAAATCTAGGAATTCTTGAACCTTTTCTTTTGCTCCATATCCAACCCACCTCTGGGTGCTGACCACACAGATCACTTTCAAATACATCCCTACCGGCTCAGCGCCTATAGCTCAACCGGCTAAGGCGCCAGCCACGTACACCTAAGGTGGCGGGTTCGAATCCCCAGCCCGGACCCGCCAAACAACAATGATGGCTGCAACCAAAAAATAGCCGGGCGTTGTGGCGGGCGCCTGTGGTCCCAGCTACTTGGGAGGCGGAGGCAGGAGACTCGCTTGAGCCCAGGAGTTGGAGGTTGCTGTGAGCTGTAATGCCATGGCACTCTGCCCAGGGGGACAGCTTGAGGCTCTGTCTCAAAAAAAAAAAAAAAAACAAATACATCCCTACCCTCCTCACTCATTGACCCTGGTTCACTTTGAGACTTGGCACCTCCTGCCTGAGCTGTGGCAATACACAATTTTGGATATTTTAATGTACCTAACTTTACATTTTATTGTTTGAGCAGATATTATACTTACATGGTTCAAATTTTAAAAGTGTAAAATGCTCACTCCTACTTCTTTCCCTACATTCCCCTCCCAGAGGCTATCAGTGTTTTTCCTATATACTTCCAGAGGCATTTTTACACAAAAGTAGCACCTTATACTAACTCCCCTACATCTTACTTTTCCCACTTAATGTATCCTAGAGATCTTTTCATATTAGCACCTAGACAGGTTCCTCTTTTATTTTTAACAGTTCATTGTAATCCATTGTATAGATACAATGTTATTATGTAACTGCTTAGTACCTCTATGGATGTGTCAGCAGTTTCTAATTTTTTGGTATTGTAAACAAGGCTGTAAAGAACAACCCTGTAGACTTGGGGCCTGTGGCTCAAGTGGCTAGGGTGCTATCCACATACACCTAAGGAAGGAGGTTCAAATCCAGCCCGGACCTGCCAAACAACAATGACGGCTGCAACCAAAAAATAGCCGGGCGTTGTGGCGGGCACCTGTGGTCCCAGCTACTTGGGAGGAGACTCGCTTGAGCCCAGGAGTTGGAGGTTGCTGTGAGCTGTAATACCACAGCACTCTACCCAGGGGGACAGCTTGAGGCTCTGTCTCAAAAAAAAAAAGAACAACCCTGTACATAGGTCACTTCACACATGGGGTAATGTATCAATGGGACAAATTCCTAAAACTGGAACTGCAGAACCACAAAGTATATGCAGTTATAATTCCAATAAGACTGCCAAATTGTTTGACATAAAGAACAACCCATTTCCAGTCTTACCAGCTATGTGCAAAAATCTTATCTTGGCCCCCTCGGCCTCCATTCATTCTTGCTCAGAAATGTGTTCTCTGCACCCTTGTCAGCACCATCTTTCTAAAATGCAAATCTGGCATGTCACTCTCTTACCCTGCTTATAAGCCTGCAATTTCTTTTCACTGCTCTTTAAGACTTTTCACCATCTACACCTGTGCTATCCAAGGTGGACAATTTAAAAATAACAGCATGTAGCTACTGAGCATCTGACATGTGATATGATGCAAGTGTAGGAAAAACACTGGATCCCAAAGACTTAGTATGGTAAAAAATGTAAAGTATCTTATTACACACTCAAATGATTGCATTTTGGATATATTAAGTAACATCATTAAGATTAATTTCACCTGTTTCTTTATGCTTTCTAGGATACGCCTACAAAATATTTTAGAATAAACACACAAGCTCTCTTATATTTCCATTGGACAGCACAGATGTAGGCAGGCCCTTCTTCCTTCACCTCCTTCATCCATCTTCTCTCCCCCCAGGCCTCAGGCCCCCTCTGTACTTCAGACAACACTGGTCCCTGTGACTTGAGCGCTCTCCGCCCACACCCTTCCTTCTCCTCCCCACTCTTATTGGGATTCTGCTTGAAACTTTCTCTTGGAGACCTTCAAGAGGTTTCTCTTCTTGGTCCACAGGTCCACCTCCCTTGAGCAGCCTGTACCGTCAGGGCCTGGCTCCCCTCTTCATTCCTGGTTCACAGGGCACCAGGCAGTTCAGTGCTGTTGGCGAAATCAAGGAACCGGGCAGAAGAACGCCAAAAGCCAGTCTAAAGAGTAGAGCTGGAGGCAGGGAACAGGCAAAAGGTCACAATGAAAGTGAACAAACAAATTCAAACGCTTAAAAATAATAGGGAAGTTTAACCGAAATGTAGAATTTGGGCAAATAATAGTAATAACAAGAAGTTACAAAGAATCAGAAACACAAGAGAAACGTATCTTCTTCGCCCAGTCTACATCCTCGCAGGGGGTCCCTAACTCCTGGACCCCGGCCTCGCCTCCGCCAGTACCTGGCCTCCCGCCTGAGCCTGCAGGAGCGGGGACCCAAGAGCCCGAGAAAGCGCCGAGTGCAGCGCCCACCGCCCGAGGACGCGACCTACTCACCCCGCAGAGAGCCGCGGCGCAGACTGCAAACCCAGGACGGGGAAGCAGCTCTGCCGGGAACCGGGAGGGACCTGCCGGGAACAGGGAGGGACCTCCGGGGAAGCGAAACTGAAACTTGGCGGCCCCAATAGTCGGGCGGGACGCACCTTCGCCCCAGTCCCAGCCCGGCCGCGCCGCGGAGCCCACCAGCAGCGCGACTCGGAGTCATGGCGTCAAGCCTCTGCCCAACGTCCCCGCTGCTCGTGCGGGTGTCCGAGTCCGCCCCCCGGACTCGCTACAAGCTGGAAATCTACTTCCAGAGCCGGGCCTCGGCCGGCGGGGAGTGCACCGTCCAGCCAGTCGAGAGCGGCGAACCGGGCACCTTCCGGGTGTTGTTCAGAGAAAGGGAAGGTGAGCTGCGGGCAGAAGGGGTGCCGGCCCGGGCTGGGGTGCAAAGGCCATCCCCGGGGCCCAGCCCTGCGGTTTTCCAGACAGTCCGAGTGCAAGCTGGCCTTGGGAAGGGCGGGAGAAAGTATGGCACCGTCTGTTAGGGGACTGGAATGAGACTGCGGCCACCGAGAGACTAAGAAAGGGAACACTCAGTGGAGAACAGAGCCCCAGGAATGCCGGGCCTGAGATCTGGTTTGGGTCTCAGGATTCATGCTTTCCATTTCCTTATCCTGACTTATTTCTCCGCTGTCCTCTTCCTTCCCCTAAAGGCCTCTCAGCCACTGTCCTTGTCATTTTGACTTTCCACTTTATATTTTAAATAATGATTCCACTGATTTATTTCTTGAGGATTACAGAAGTAATATTGGAGGTGCCAAAAAAAAAAAAAAGTGTACACATTTGTTGAAAGTAAAATTGATCATTCCCCCGAAGTGTATGAATTGCAGGTAAAATGGATGTGTGTAACAAGTCTAGGTTTTTTGACAGTCACGGTACCTTCAATCAACTTCAAAAAGTTAATACATAGATTACATGCTTAAAATGTGTGTACGTTTTTTGGGTACCTTTTGTATATGCTCACTATAGAAAAGAGAGAAAAGAATAAAGAAGAAAACTACCTGGAGATAGACAATGTGAACATTTGGGTATTACTTCCTTCCAGCCTTTTTCTATGAATGTCAGCAAACACATACCTATTTACAAAATTCTGAGTCTACACTTTCGATTCCTGCTTTTTTCGCTTAACTGTGTAATAAATATTGAAATGGGAGACTGGAGACAGTTTTAGAAACATGACTTTTAATGTGTGGACGATGTTCACTGTTATTAAGCTTTCACTTCTATAGTAAAACTTAAACTGTTCACTTTTGATGGTTAATAGCACCCTGCTTCCTCCCTTACCAATGCACATGCCACTATACAGGAAGCAGCTGTACTAGGAGGGTGCTGGGGCAGGACACAGATGCAGAAATAAGAGAATTACTTGAAATCTCTCCCATTTCTGTGTGTATGTATATATGTGCATGTTAATGTCTCCACTGCAGCTAAGGAGAGAGTCTTGAAACAAAAAAATCACCAGGTATCTATTGAAGGAAAACCTGTGACCATTTCCCTGGAACCCACTGAAAATCCAGTAGAGAACAGGAGAACCAGAATTTCTTCACTTACAGAGTCACAAGCAAGTGCAGAGTCTGATGAGAAGTATGTTAATGAAAGATATATTCCTACCGCTGTGGATTCATGTGTCCAAAAGGTGAGTATTGAAAGAAGATGACTGGGCTTGGCACTTGTGGCTCAAGTGGCTAAGGTGCCAGCCACATACACCTAAGGTGGCAGGTTCAAATCCAGCCAGGGCCTGCCAAACAACAATGGTGGCTACAACCAAAAAATAGCCGGGCATTGTGGCGGGTGCCTGTGGTCCCGGCTACTTGGGAGGCTGAGGCAGGAGACTCGCTTGAGCCCAGAAGTTGGAGGTTGCTGTGAGCTTTGATGCCACAGCACTCTCCCCAGGGGGACAGCTTGAGGCTCTGTCTCAAAAAAAAAAAAGAAAGAAAGAAAGAAGATGGCTGTGTTCCTGCAGCTTCCTCTCCAATCACCACACCTCATGTGGTATTGGTCCAACAACTATGTACTAGGGTCTAATTATGAGCTAGGCATTGTTTTAGAGACTAGGACACAGAGGTGAACATGATCTTGGCTCTCATGCAGCCTGTATTGGGGGTGGAGCAGAACACAGAAAGATAATAGGCTTCCAAAATAAATAAAACTGTTTCAAAGTAACAAGAAAATATAATGGGGATTTGCCTTAGAGGCTACTGACCAGGCCAGGGCAAAGAAGGGGAAGATGGAGGTGGTGTTACTTCTGACCAGAAGTCATGTCAACTTCTCTGAGGAGGTGACATTTGACCTGAAACTTGATGATGAGAAAGAGCTGGCTATGCAAAGATCCTTTCAACAAATGCATATTGACCACCTACAGCATGAACATTTGGCATATTTTCTTCCAGCCTCTTCCTATGAATGTCAGCAAACGGAAACCTATTTACAACATTCTGAGTCTGTGCTTCAATCCCTGCTTTTTTCACTTCACTATATAATGAATATGGAAATGGGGACTGGAGACAGTTTCAGAAACATGACTTTCCATTTTTGTTCCTCTAAAGAAGTTTTTATTTCACATTTAGTTAGGATTTTTTTGATTTTTTGGTTGTTGAGACAAGAGTCTGGGTAGTGTCCCTGTGTCATAGCTCACAGCAACCTCAAACTCTTGGGTTCAAGAGATCCTCTTGCCTCAGCCTCTCTAATAGCTGGGACTATAGGTGCTCACCATAACACCAGGCTAGCTTTTCTATTTTTAATAGAGATGGGTTTCACTCTTGCTCAGGCTGGTAAAGATGGGGTTTTGCTCTTGGTCAGGCAGGTCTCAAATTCCTGAGTTGAAGGGATCCACCCACCTTGGCCTCCCAGCGTACTATAGGATTCAGGTGTGAGCAACTGCACGCACTCCTCACATTGAGTTTTGAAAAGTATTCACTAGGTACAGAAATTCTACACTGACAGTTTTTTTTTCTTTCAATTCTTTAAAGATCTAATTCCACTGTCTTCTGGATTGCATTGTTTTTGTAAGAAGGTTGCCCTTCTTATTTCTTTTGTATATAATGAAACCTTTTCCCTCTGTTTGTTTATTGATACATAAATAGTTGTACACATTTAGGGGGACACATGGTATTTTGATACATGCATACAATGTGTAATAATCAAATCAGGATAATAGGGGTAGATATCTATCGCTTCAAGCAATTATCTTTATGTTAGGAACATTCCAACATTCTTTTTTTTTTTTTTTTGAGACGGAGCCTCAAGCTATCCCCCTGGG